GGAAGGTTGGGCGTGAAATTTCGGAGAGGATGCGCAAAAGACGAAGCACGGAGAAAGCAAAAGGGAGAAAGAAGCGAAGAAGGAGTGAAGACGGACACCCTCAAGCCCCCCTTTCGGGGCCTAGCCACGCAATGACTTCAGGCCCGGTCATAGTCCCCCGCTGCGGATCTTTAGTCTCGCGTTCGGCTCGGGATGAGACGCAAGATGTAAGATGGAATGAAGCGCAAGGAGGGGAAGGCACGAAGTAAGGGGGGAGGGGATGAAGACATGGAGTCCAGCGCGGGGGGATTCGAGAAGTGACTCGAAGCAGGACGGCCCAGCATACCGCTCTGGCACACCCCCGACTGGTACTCGAAAGCCCGCGCGACTCGATCGACGGTGGAAATCATTCCGACTCGACTCGGCTCGAAAGGGCACCCGTCCTGCACCCGGCCTGCCACCACACCATCTTCACCTCCCCACTCTCCCCAAGTGCTCAAAAACCCCCCTCAAATAAGAACGGCCACCCACCTCATCAAACTCCCCATCCTCCCCCTCATCATCCAAATCGTCAAACTCATCATCATCATCGTCGTCCTCGTCGCTGTCGTCGAGCATCTCGTACTCAAGCGCCTTGCCCGTGAAGTAGTCGACGGCGCGGGGGATTATCTGGGTGGGGGGTTCGTCAGCATTCGGTATAGGGAAGAGAGACAGATGGGCGAGGATGAAGAGGGATGGAGGGGAAATGTAAGGAGGGGAAGAAGGGATATGTATGGGACGGGGTAGAATGGGAGGATGGGAAGCCAGAGGAAGGGAGGTGTATGGGACGAGGGAGGTGGTATGAAGGACGAGGAGCGAACAGACGACGTGAAGGAGAGGGGGAGGGAAGGGCGACATGGGTCGTGGGATCGGGCGGGGAGGAACGGAAAGAAGTGTAGGGAAGAGACGATCGAAAATGCTGAATGGGACGGAGATCAAGGATGACAGGGAGGGAAGGGGAGGGGAAAAGACGGGCACAGCGAATGCAAAGGACGGACGGATAGTGCAAATGTGAAGGAAAGTGGGCGAATGTGAAGGAAAATGGGTATGACATGACGCGTATCGAAGGTCCTATCGGACGGAAGCGGAAGATGTCGAACGCGAAGGGAAATGAAGGCGAAGCCTCCGTCTCCAAATAGGAACGGCACGAAGAGGAACCAAAAACAAAACCAAAAACCCACCTTCTCCTTCAAATCCTCCCCAACCTGGTAATCCACCTCGAGCCGCTCCTCGATCTCCTCGAGGTCCTCCGGGTCGATGTCGCCCGCTTCGATCTGGAGGTAAAAAGAAAGGGGAGGTTAGTATGAGAGGAAAATTGGAGTAAGAAAGGGGGAGGAGGGAAGGGAGGGAGGAGTAGAGCCTCGAGGGGCGAAGGCGCCCACGAGAGCTTGAGGACGTATGGGTGCAGGTGGGCGGGACGAGTCGGTCATCAGATGGCGACCTAGCCCTGGCTGGGCCTAGCGCCAGCACACCGCGTGACGTTCCACGGCAAGAGCACAAAACAATCGGAGTCTCAAGCCAAAGCACCCATATGAGGTCACGACTCGCGCGCGCTTCGGCCCCCGAGACAAGCGAGCCCGCACCTCGACGAGCGGCGCGAGACTCTTCCCCGCCTCGACATGGGCAAACACATCCCCGTAGAATCTTCTGCGGCGTGCGCAGATCGTCGTCCGCACGTCAGGATCTTGCACGAAGGCTCAAAACACCATCTCCCAAGTCCCCGCTGCACGACGAGACGAGCTGAGATCACAAGCGGCAAGCGACGTCGAGATCGCACCCGATCTTGCGCCTTCCGCTCCTCGCTCGTCTGCTCCCGATAAACCAAACCCGGACAACCGAGACAAAATAGGGATCCGAAGGGAAAGAGGCAACGGAGGGTCCATAACGAACGCCAACATCCGCAACGCAACGTCGCGGCCCAGACGCTCGCGTACGACGGGGTCCGCAACGAACGCCAGCTGGCCATCCCCGTCGAGACGTCGCGTCATCTCGCAGGTGGGGAGGAAAGCGATCGGCGTTCGGCGCATGCACTCCCTCCCGTCTCCCGCCTCCCGCCTCCCGCCTCTGCGTCATGCGATCGCGTCGCCTGTCTCCCGCCACCACGTCGGCGATCGCGCCTTCTGCCTCTGCGTCCCAGGTTCGTCTCCACACCCACACCCACACCCCATCCCCGAATGCCGCTAGATGCAGTTTTTCTCTCGAAAAGAAAGAACGCCACGTCTCCTGCCTCCGCATCAAGCGATCGCGTCGCCTCATGCCTCCTGCCTCCGCGCCCAAATGCCCCCCAACGTCGCCCCCTCGCTCCCTCCTCCCAAAAGTGAAAAAAAAACCTCCCCCCCAATTTCCCCCGCCAAGAAAAGAAAGAAATAAAGTGGAACTCAGACTCACAGCCTCATCGCTCGGCATAACCGGCGGCGCGAAAAAGTTGAAGAACGACGCGGTGGGGTGCGATTTGCGGATGAGGCGGGTGCGGTTGGTGTCTGGCGTTTTTGCGTTAGTTTTTTGTTTTTATATAAGGATAATATGAATGGGGAAGGGGGAAGGGAAAGAAGGAGGGAGCGAAAGAAGAAAGGGAGACGGGAGGGGAGGAGGAGGGGGAGGGAGGGAGGAGGGAGGGGAAGGAGGGGGAAGGAGGGGGAGGAGGAGGGAAGGGAGGGGGAAGGGGAAGGGAGGAGGGGGGAGGGGGGGGAGGGGGAAGGGGGAGCGGTACAAGCCAAGACCAAGAAAGGCAGGGATGAGGGATGAGTGACGGCGGGGAGGAGAAGAGGATGGAGGGGGGAAGGAAAGAAGAGAAAAGGGGGAGTAAAGAGAGGGGAGGGGGGGGGAGGAGGGAACGACAAGGTGGGAAGGAAGGAGGGATGAGGGGGAGGGAGGAGGAAGGGGAAGGGAGAAATAAGGGAAGGAGGGAAGCGAGACGCCAGGAAGGGCGACGACGTGGAAAGAACGCAAGAGGGCACAAGCCAGGACGTCGGGGAGGGGAGCGGGGAGCTACGTATGTGGTAGGTCGAGGCGGGGTCGCAGTCAAGCAGCGACGGTCCCGCACCCCAGGAGGCGTAGGCGCCCAGCACTACAAGTCCATCACCCCAAGGACGGAGAAGGGGTGCAAAAAAACGGGAAGAGGAATCGAAAAACAAAACTCACTCTTATTCCTCTGCTTCTTGATCTCCCACTCGCGCGTGAGGTCCTTCTCCTCCTTCCACGCGATGTTGCTCCCTACGGCGCGCTCGTAGACGAAGTCGCCGGAGTAGGAGACCTGTGTGTGTGTGTGATGTTAGCGTTTGTGGGCGAGATGGAATAAGAGAGAGAGAAAGGGAAGGGGGAAGGGAGGGGAGGGGAGGGAGGAAGGGGGAGGGAAGGGGGAGGAGGGAGGACGGTAGGAGGGAAGGACAGGAAGAGGTACGAAGAGCGGAGCAAGGCGGAGAGGGGGTAGCAGGAAGGTCGGGAGCGGTAGGAAGGTGGGGAGATAACAAAGGAAAGCAAGGGCGGGGCAGGAAGACGAGGGCGGGGTGATACAAGGGAAAGCGGCGACGTATAGTAAGACGAGGTATCATAAGGAAAGCCAGCCAACGTGTAGTACAAACGCGTCGCAGAAAGGTGGAGAGAGTAGGTGGTAGATAGGGGTGTAGGAAGGTAGGTGCGCAGCCGTAGCGAAGGAAGGGAAAGACGTCGTAGGCGTCGGGGATAAGATAGTAAAGAGAGACAAATCCGCACCTCCTCCTGGTAGATATACGTCTTGCTGAGCGTCTTATCGGTGAAGAACGGGTTCTTGTCCGCGTCCCAGTGGAACGTGAGCGTGAAGCCCGGCTTGCCCGCGAATTCGCCTACACCCCTCATCTCATCAGCATCCATCCACTCCTTCATGACACAAAAAAAGAAAGAAGCAAGAAGAAGCAAAGAAGGACTCACCCTCCCCGCCCTTGGGGGGCAAATACTCGAGCGTCACATCTGTGAGATGCGCGAGCGCCTCTGCGTCGCGCTCCGTGATGAGTTCCGCTAGGCCAGGGTGGTTGCGCAGCGCGGTGAGCCAGAACTCGGGGATGCCCTTGACGTCCGCTGCGTCTTTGTCCTTGTCGGCGTCTTGAAGAGGCTGGTCAGCGAGGATAGTGTACTCGTCGTCGTCCTTGAGGGACTGGGCTTCGCCGGCGGCGATCTCCTCTTGGGTGACGGGGAGGCGCCGGCGATGATGGCATGGCGTCGGGCGTAGAGCGGTTTTTGCAGTTCAAGGTACTATCAGGTAACGAGTTAGTTGACGTGCAACGTGGTTAAAAGAGACGTGGGGGTGTCGAGAGCGGGTGGCAACGCGTATCGCCGCCATCGATCGCGCCCCACAAAACACGAGGCACAAAGACCTCCCCCAAACAAAAAAGACACACACCTTCCGCTCAAGCTCCAAACACTCCCTCTTATACTGGTTCTGCAGCTCCGTCTGCTGCACCTGCACCCCCTTCAGTCCCTCCACGCTCTTCTTCACCGCCATCGGCAGCGCCTCGATGTACCCCGAGCTGCGCCCCACAAGTCCCGCCAACTTCCCATGCACCATCCCCAGCATCGCCGACTGTACCCCCGCCGCGCCCAGGGACGTCAACTCCTCCGCCGCCTCGCCCTCCTCCGAGATGTCGGGGACCGTGGGCCGCGAGAGGCCTGACGAGATCGGCGCGTGCTGCGCGGGCGTGTTTTGGGGGGTTGGCGCTGTTATGCCGGACGCGGAGATGGGGACGGAGGAGCTCATCGTTTGTGTGCGTTGCGAGAGTAGAAGGATCAAGGCAAGCAAGCAAATTTTTGGGGCGGAGTTAGGCGGAGTTTGAATTGGCGGACCGGGGACCGGTCACGTTTTGTCGAGAACTTTCTTTTTGTATTGACTCTTTTGTTAGCGTGGCAGGTTCAATGTGACCGTACATCCAAAAAATAATTCACGCCGGCTGACAAAAGAGAGAGAGAAAGAGGGAGAAAAAAGGGAGAAAAACAATGCTTTCTTTCTTTCATGACTCGGGCCTGATTCGAACAGGCGACATCCACATTCAACGTCTCATCAGCCTATCTACGAGTTGTGGACGTGGACCATCCACCACCGAGTCAGTAATCACTCTCAATGTGAGTTAAATAAATAGATGAGAATTTACGGACCGCACAGTGGTTGGTTGCTTTATTTCACCGTAGTTCTAGGTCAAAAATGCGGAGGCGCATACGTTCGTTTGCAAGGATGATCAGGTCCGATTGAAATAACTCTAAACGCCAAGAAGCACAAAAAAATGTGGTAGCCACCATGACTCGGGCCTGATTCGAACAGGCGACTTCCACATCCAATTACAACAAATTTCAGAATCAATCATGAGTTGTGGATGCGGACCATCCGCCACCGAGTCGGTACTGACCCTCAATCTGGTTTGAATAAATAACACTGAATCTACGTGCTGAAGGGCCGTTGGTGAACTTACTTACCACTTCATGGAAGGTAGGTGACATGACTGCGCGTTGGAAATTCACCTGTCCAGGAAATGTTTCATGAAATGTAATACTGTGGCAGCGGTTCATTCAGCAAGAAAATCCACGCTAGTTGCCAGCCTCCGAAAAAAAATTTAAAAAGTGTCATAGCACTCAAATAGTGACTCGGGTCTGATTCGAACAGACACCTTCCAAAGTCAATACAGTTCACTTCTTGGGACATGAATTATGGATGCGAGCCATCCGCCACCGAGTCGGTAACCAGCCTTAATCTGGGTTGAATAAACGAGTATGCATTACGTGCCGCATGGGCCGTTGGTCTGGTTAAACTTCACCCTTAGCTTCGTGGAACGGGGACGCAACTGAGTGAGTAAAAAAATTAATATTGAATCGACGGGGAAAACAAAACTGAGACTCGGTCAGAGAGTATCCGGCAAAATGATCCGGACGAATGACTCGGGCCTGAGTCGAACAGGCGACTTCCACAGGCAACGACTTCTTCTCTACCATAAGAGTTGTGGACACGGACCATCCGCCACCGAGTCGGTACTCACCTCAATCTAGGTTGGATAAATGAGCATGAATTATCTGCCACATCAATTGGTCGGTTGAAACGCCGTGGTCTCCGGAATAAAATGCAGCTATCACATTGGGTGAATTAGGAAATAATCAGACATATATTGGACTGAAGGGATAAAATGAACCCGATGAGTTGGAACACGGGTTGAAAAATAAAAACCACGCCCTCCAAGCTGGATGACTCGGGCCTGATTCGAACAGGCGACTTCCACATCCAATTACAACAGATTTCAGATCAATCATGAGTTGTGGATGCGGACCATCTGCTACCGAGTCGGTATTGATCTTCAATGTGGGTTGAATAAATGAGTATGATTATGTGCTGCATGGGCCATTGGTCTGGTTAAACTTCACCCTAGCTTCGTAGACCGCGGATGCAGCTGGGTGAGCTAAAAATTCAATAATGAATCAATGAGGAAAACAAAACTCAGAGTAGGCGAAAGGAATCTTTTTTTTTTAACAACTACTTCGGACCTTGACAAATTATGACTCGGGCCTGATTCGGAAAGGCGACTTCCAGAGTCAGAGTGTTCACTACTCATGAATTGTGGACGCGGACCATCCGCCACCGAGTCGGTACTCATCCTCAATGTGGGTTGAATATATAGATTGAACTTATGGGGACACCATGCTAAATGAACCTACTTGCGACATTCTCCCAATAGAATACAATGCTCACTTGATGCTCACATCGGGTAGAATGATTAGACCTACAGTACAGTTTCGAACTGAGTTCGCAGGGATAAAATGAACCAAATGAATGCCAGGCAGTCAGAGGAAGTAGGAGGAAAAAGACAGCACGCTAAGCACTGCGTATGACTCGGGCCTGATTCGAACAGGCGACTTCCATGCTCAAATCAGCAAATAGTCCTCACATGAATAGTGGATGCAGGCCATTCGCCACCGAGTCGGTACTCACCCTCAATCTAGGTTGGATAAATGAGCATGAATTTATGTGCCGCACAGTGGTTAGTTGAAACGCCTTGGTCTCCGAAATAAAATGCAACCATCACATCGGCTGAATCTAAGAGAATAATCAGACATATATTGGACTGAAGGGATAAAATGAACCCGATGAGTTGGAACAGGAGTTAAAAAATAAAAAAACCATGCCCTCTGAACTGGATGACTCGGGCCTGATTCGCACAGGCGACTTCCACTGCCATTGTTGTTCACTACTCATGAATTGTGGACACGGACCACCCGCCATCGAGTCAGTACTTAGCCTTAATTTGGGTTGAATAGATGGACATGAATTATGTACCACATTCGTTGGTAAACCGTTACCACTTCGCGAACCGCGGCCGCAACTCGTCGAGTTGGAAATAATGAATCGACGAGGAAAAGAACTCAAAGGAGTAATAAGTAAAAAACCCCTTAGTTCACGAGATACGACTTAGACCTGATTCGGACAGGCGACTTCCACAGTCAAATGTTTGCCTCTAGCTATGAGTTATGGATGCGGACCATCCGCCACCGAGTCGGTATTGGCCTTAAAGGTGGGTTGAATAAATGAGACGCTGGGCTGTCAACTTAATATTCAATAGAAAAACTCAAAAGAGCCGAAAGGAAGGGTAAAAACCTTCGTGAACGAAGTATGACTCGGGCCTGGATCGAACAGACACCTTCCAATTCAATCGGTTTCTGCACTGGGATATGAGATGTGGATGCGGACCTTCGCCACCGAGTCGGTATCTGACTTGAATTTGGGTTGAATAAATGGGTGAATTTACAGATCGCATCAGTTGGTTGAACATGTCTTGGTCTCCGAATAGTTACATCAGCTGAATCCAAGAGAATAATCAGAGGCACAGTATTGAGCTGAGTTCACAAGGATAAAATGAACCAGATGATTCGGAACAGGAGGAAAAAAAGCATGGCTTGGGGAGAAGTCATGACTCGGACCTGAATCGAACAGGTGACTTCCACGGCCGAGATGAATGTGGCCCAAATGAGTTGTGGACATGGACGATCCACTACCGAGTCGGCACCCGCTTCAATGTGGGTTGGGTAGATGAGCATGAATTTACGCATTGCATCGGTTCGTTGGTTGAAACGTCTTGGTCTCCGAATTATATTCTGACAAAAGGCACCTGCCGCAATCGCATCGGGTGAATCTAAGAAAATAATCCGACATACAGCATTCAACTGAAGTTCACGGGGATAAAATGAAGCGGATGAGCCAGCAGTGGAGGAGGAACAGTAGGAAAAAGTGAATTTCTTTTAGTCAAGAGAGATCACAGATTTGAGCAGGCAGCTTCCACAACAGTACATTTCCAAGAAATAGGTTGTAGACGCAGACCATCCGCCACCGAGTCCGTAGTAAGCTTCAATGTGGGTTGAATAAACGAGAAGAATTTATTTGCCGCATGCGCAGTCGGTTGAACTTCACTGCTTCATCAAATGTTTGCACTTGCTCAAGGCCGGAGTCCCTTGTCGAGTTAAAATTTGAATCAAAAAGGAAAACAAAACTCCGAGGAGTCAAAGGAAAGATAAAACTAAAATTCGATGTCCGTACGTTCATGACTTGGGCCTGGATCGAACAGGCAACTTCCACAGTCAATACGTAGTGGTCCCTTCGATATGATGTAGATGCCACCACCGAGTCGGTGAGATGGTGTGGAACGAGGTTAAAACATAAGTGGGGAGCATAGTCAATGGTGGGTGGCAATGCGCATTGCCGTCATCGATCGCACCGTCTCGAGACCACGAGGCACGAGGCACAAAGCCCTCACCCCACAAAAACAAAACGCACACCTTCCTCTCAAGCTCAAGACACTCCCTCTTATACTGATTCTGCGGCTCCATCAGCTGCACCTGCACCCCCTTCAACCCCTCCACGCTCCTTTTCATCGCCATCGGCAGCGGCTCGATGTACCCCGAGCTGCGCCCCACAAGTCCCGCCAACTTCCCATGCACCATCCCCAGCATCGCCGACTGTACCCCCGCCGCGCCCAGGGACGTCAACTCCTCCGCCGCCTCGCCCTCCTCCGAGATGTCGGGGACCGTGGGCCGCGAGAGGCCTGACGAGATTGGCGCGTGCTGCGCGGGCGTGTTTTGGGGGGTTGGCGCTGTTATGCCGGACGCGGAGATGGGGACGGAGGAGCTCATCGTTTGTGTGCGTTGCGAGAGTAGAAGGATCAGAGCAAGCAAGCAAATTTTTGGGGCGGAGTTAGGCGGAGTTTGAATTGGCGGACCGGCGCACCGGTCACGTTTTGTTGAGAACTTTCTTTTTGTATTGACTCTTTTGTTAGCGTGGCAGGTTCAATGTGACCGTACATCCAAAAAATAATCCACGCCGGCGGACAAAAGAGAGAGAGAAAGAGGGAGAAAGAGGGAGAAAGAGGGAGAAAAAAAGGGAGAAAAACAAAACTTTCATATTTATGACTCTGGCCTGATTCAAACAGGCGACTTCCACATCAAGTGCCTTCAGCTACAATGTGCTGTGGACGCGGACCATCCGCCACCGAGTCAGTAATTACCCTCAATGTGAGTTGAATAAATGGATGAGAACTTACGGACCGCACAGTGGTTGGTTGACTTCACTGTGGTTATAAGTAAAGTCACATTGCGGAGGTGCGTACGTTCGTGATCAGGTCTGATTGTGTCTGAATGAACTGAACACCCGGAAAACAAACCAGTCAAGAAGACAAAAAAAGGTGGAGTATTAAGAAGCTGCTACGACTCGGACCTGATTCGAACAGGCGACTTCCACTGTGCATTAAGAGGGACATGGTTATGTCTCGTGGACGCGGACCATTCGCCACCGAGTCGGTAACCAGCCTTAATCTGGGTTGAATAAACGAGAGTGCATTTATGTGCCGCGGGTTGAACATGTCTTGGTCTCCGAATCTAATTCAGACAAAATGCAACCATCACATCTACGCGCCGGAGGGCCGTTGGTGAACTTACCACTTCATGAAAGGTAGGTGTGACATGACTGCGCGTTGGAAAATCACTTGGCCAGGAAATGTTTCATGAAATGTAATACTGTGGCCGGTGTACGTTCAGCAAGAAAATCCACGCTAGCTCTGCCGCCAAAAAAAAATTAAAAAAGTGACACAACACTTAAATAGTGACTCGGGCCTGATTCGAACAGGCAACCTCCCACAGCGAACACTATCGAGGCTGATCCATAAGTTGTGGATGCGGACCATCCGCCACCGAGTCAGTAATCAGCTTTAATCTGGGTTGGATAAATGAGCATCAATTTATGTGCCGCAGGTTGGACACGTCTTGGTCTCCAAATGTAATTCAGAGAAAATGCGTACATCACAATCACTTCGGGCGAATATCAATGGAAGAAAATAATAAGATGCATAGTTTCGAACTGAGTTCGCAGGGATAAAATGAACCAAATGAATGCCAGGCAGTAGGAGGAAAAAGAAAGCACGCTAAGCACTGCGTATGACTCGGGCCTGATTCGAACAGGCGACTTCCATGCTCAAATCAGCAAATAGTCCTCACATGCATTGTGGATGCAGGCCATCTGCCACCGAGTCGGTACTCATATTCAATCTAGGTTGGATAAATGAACATGCATTTATCTGCCACATCAATTGGTTGGTTGAAACGTCTTGGTCACCGAAATAAAATACAACTATCACACTTCGGCTGAATCTAAGAGAATAATCAGATGCACAGTCAGAGCTCACGGGGATAAAATGAACCAAACGAGTCGAAACAGGAAGAACGGCAGGAAAAAAAAAGAAACCTAGATCTGGAGCTTATGACTCGGGCCTGATTCGAACAGGCGACTTCCACTGCCATCGTTGTTCAGTACTCATGAATTGTGGATGCGGACCATCCGCCACCGAGTCGGTATTGAGCTTCAATGTGGGTTGGATAAATAGATGAGAACTTACGGGCCGCACAGTGGCTGGTTGCTTTATTTCACCGTAGTTGTAGGTCAAAAATGCGGAGGCGCATAGTACGTTCGTTTGCAAGGATGATCAGGTCCGATTGAACTAACTCTGAACACCTGGAAGCAACAGCCAAGAAGCACAAAAATCAGGCAAAGAAAGAATGACCCAGACCTGATTTGAACAGGCGACTTCCACACGAACTGTCGATTTTGTGATACATCGTGGATGCGGATCATCCGCCACCGAGTCTGTACTCACCCTCCATGTTGGTTGAACAAACCAACACAAATTTAGGCCGGTCTGCGGTCCAGTCGGAGATGTTGAACTTTCAATGTTGACTGAAAAAAAACCTATGGAATTCAGGTTTGCACTGAACGATGGAAATTAAAAACGGGAATTGGAGGGGAAAAAGGTGTTGCAGCCTACGTATGACTCGGGCCTGATTCGAACAGGCGCCTTCCACAGTCAACGGCTTCTCCTCCTAAGGAGTTGTGGACGTGGACCACCCGCCACCAAGTCGGTACTCACACCCAATCTAGGTTGGATAAATGAGCATGAATTATCTGCCACATCAATTGGTTGGTCGAAACGCCTTGGTCTCCGAAATAAAAATATTACATCGGCTAAATCTAAAAGAATAATCAGACATACAGCGTTGAACTGAAGGGATAAAATGAACCCGATGAGTTGGAACACGGGTTGAAAAAGAAAAACCACGCCCTCCAAGCTGGATGACTCGGGCCTGATTCGAACAGGCGACTTCCACATCCAATTACAACAGATTTCAGATCAATCATGAGTTGTGGATGCGGACGATCCGCCACCGAGTCGGTATCTGGCTTGAATCTGGGTCGGATAAATGGGCATAAATTCATGTGCCGCATTCGCCGCTGGTGAAATTTACCGCCTCACGGACCACGGACACGCCTTTGCTCCTGGGTTTGATTTAATATCGAATCGACAAAAAGAAACTCAGAAGAGTCGAATGGGAAAAAAAGCTAAAAATGGGGATTGACATATAATGACTCGGGCCTGAGTCGAACAGGCGACTTTCACAGTCAGTCAATCTAATTCATGATAAGCTGTGAAGGCGGACCATCCGCCACCGAGTCAATATCTGGCTTCAATGTGGGTTGAATAAATGAGCATTAATCTACGTGCTGGAGGGCCATTGGTGAACTTACTTACCACTTCATGGAAGGTAGGTGTGACATGACTGCGCGTAAGAAATTCACTTGACCAGGAAATGTTTCATGAAATGTGATACTGTGACAGCGGTTCATTCAGCAAGAAAATCCACGCTAGCTAAAAAAATAAAAGAAAGAGGGCGGTTTCAAAAGTGACTCGGGCCTGATTCGAACAGGCGACTTCCGCACCGAATACTATCAACCTGATCTATAAGTTGTGGACACGGAGCATCTGCCACCAAGTCTTGATTTTGGGTTGAATAAACAACACTGAATCTACACGCTGGAGGGCCGCTGGTCACTTCATCGAAGGTAGGTGTGACATGACTGCGTGTAGGAAATTCGCTTGACCAGGAAATGTTTCATGAAATGTAATACTGTGGCAGCGGTGCATCCAGCAAGAAAATCCACGCTGGCCGCCAGCTGCCAAAAAAAATTAAAAAAGGTGACACGGCACCCATGTAAACAGTGACTCGGGCCTGATTCGAACAGGTGACTTCCGCAGCGAACTCTATCATGCCTGATCCATAAGTTGTGGATGCGGACCATCCGCCACCGAGTCAGTACTCAGTCCCAATCTGAGTTGAATGAATGAGGTGAATTTATGTCACAAAGATAAAATTGGAACAGGGGTGAAAAATAAAAGCCACGCCCTCAGAGCTAGATGACTCGGGCCTGATTCGAACAGGCGACTTCCACTGCTATCGTCGTTCAGTACTTATGAATTGTGGATGCGGACCATCCGCCACCGAGTCGATATCGAGTTTCAACGTGGGTCGAATAAATGGGCATGAATTTACGGGCTGGTTGGACGTTACCTTTTCGTGGAATGCGGATGCAACTGAGCGAGTAAAAAAATTAATATTGAATCGACGGGGAAAAAAAACTGAGACTCAGTCTGAGAGTATCCGGCAAAAATGAATGACTCGGGCCTGAGTCAAACGCACGACTTCCAGAGTCAATGTGGCTTCTTCATCAAATGAGTTGTGGACGCGGACCATCCGCCACCGAGTCGGTACTCACACCCAATCTAGGTTGAATAAATGAGCATGAATTTACGGGCTGGTTGAACGTTACCTTTTCGTAGACCGCGACCGCAACTGAGCGAGTTAAAAATTTAATATCGAATCGACGGGGGAAAACAAAACTGAGACTCAGTCTGAGAGTATCCGGCAAAAATGAATGACTCGGGCCTGATTCGAACAGGCGACTTCCAGAGTCAATGTGGCTTCGTCGTCGAATGAATTGTGGATGCGGACCACCTGCCACCGAGTCAGTACTGACCCTCAATCTGGGTTAGATAAACAACACTGAGTCTATGCGCCGGAGGGCCGTTGGTGAACTTACCACTTCATGAAAGGTAGGTGTGACGTGACTGCGCGTCGGAAATTCACTTGGCCAGGAAATGTTTCATGAAATGTGATACTGTGGCAGCGGTGCATCCAGCAAGAAAATCCATGCTAGCTGCCTGCTGCCAAATAAAATAAAAGAAAGACGGCGGTTTCTAAGTGACTCAGGCCTGATTCGAACAGACACCTTCCATGGTCAAAGGCACATTGCAGGCACATGAATTATGGATTCGGACCATCCACCACCGAGTCGGTACTCACCCTCAATCTGAGTGGAATAACGAATTTACGGACCACACAGTGGTTGGTAGGAACACCTTAGTCTCCGAATTATATTCAGAAAAATACATAGGGCGATTCCAAGAGAATGATCAGACGTACAGCTTTAAACTGAATTTCGCAGGGATAAAATGAACCAGATGAGTCGAAACAGGAGGAACAGCAGGAAAAAAAAAAGTGTGGCTTGAGGGGAAGTTATGACTCGGGCCTGATTCAAACAGGCGATTTCCAGAGTCAATGTGTTCACTACTCATGAATTGTGGACGCGGACCATCCGCCACCGAGTCAGTACCCCGCTTAAAGATGGGTTGGATAAATGAGCATAATTTACGTGTTGCATGGGCCGTGGGTTTGGTTAAACTTCACCCTAGCCTTTGCTCCTGGGTTTGAGTTAAGATTGAATTAACAAGGGAAACAAAACTCAGAGTAGGCGAAAGGAATCTTTTTTTTTTTTTAAACTACTTCGGACCTTGACAAATTATGACTCGGGCCTGATTCGAACAGGCGACTTCCACAGTCGATACATATGAAGTTCACGACTAATATGATCTGGGAACGGACCACCCGCCACCGAGTCGGTATCCTGATTGAATTTGAGTTGGATAGATGAGAATAAATTAGGATAGCCTCCGAGCCGGTCCAGTCCGGAGATGTTGAACTTTTCCCAGTGAACAAATGAGGAACACCATGCCGTTCGGCAGCGTTCGCACTGACCGGTGGAAAGTGAACACGGGAATTGGGGGAAAAGAAGCAGTTGTAATGGTACGACTCGGGCCTGAATCGAACAGGCAGCTTATACAGTCAATTTCAAAGCAATAATGTGCCGTGGACGCGGTCCATCCACCACCGAGTCGGTAGCCAGTCTTATTCTGAGTTGAATAAATAGAAAAAAAAAATTGGTGTTGTTGGCTGCATGGGTTGTTGGTTGGTTGAACTTTACCGGCACCCATGTTCAAGGCTCCCGGTTGAGCTGGAATTGACTCAACGGGAAAACAAAACTCAGAAGAGTCGAGAAGTAAAACAATCTCGGACATTGCCCCATTACACGGGCCTGATTCGAACAGGCGACTTCTAGTGAGACTCATGCAGCATGATTATGAATTGTGGATGCGGACCATCTGCCACCGAGTCGGTACACGTATTGAATCTGGGTTGAATAAACAAGATCGAATTTATGGGCTGCAGGGCCGTGGGTTGAACTTTACCGCTTTGAAGACTGCGGACGTAACTGGTTGAGTTAGAAATTGTACCGACGAAAAAGAAACTCAAAAGAGTTGAAAGTAAAAGCCATTGTGCACAAACATGACTCGGGTCTGAATTGAACAGGTGATCTCCATTGTGTATTACTTTGGACATGGATCATGAGTTGTGGACGCAAACCATCCGCCACCGAGTCGGTACTCAACTTGATTTTGGGTTGAATAGATAGAAGGCATTTACAGGCTGAGTTAGATGACATGGGATGAGGGTAAAAGATAAGCGGGGAGGGCGGTGGCGCCGTCATCGATTGATTGCGCCGTCTCCACCACGAGGCACTCACCCCCCAAAACAAAACAAAACACTCACCTTCCTCTCAAGCTCCAGACACTCCATCGGCAGTGCCTCGATGTACCCCGAGCTGCACCCCACAAGACCCGCCAACTTCCCATGCACCATCCCCAGCATCGCCGACTGCACCCCCGCCGTGCCCAGGGACGTCAACTCCTCCGCCCCCTCGCCCTCCTCCGAGATATCGGGGACCATGGGCCGCGAGAGGCCCGAGGAGATCGGCGCGTGCTGCGCGGGCGTGTTTTGGGGGGTTGGCGCTGTTATGCCGGACGCGGAGATTGGGACGGAGGAGCTCATCGTTTGTGTGCGTTGCGAGAGTAGAAGGATCAGAGCAAGCAAGCAAATTTTTGGGGCGGAGTTAGGCGGAGTTTGAATTCGCGGGCCGGGGACCGGTCACGCTTTGTTGAGAACTTTCTTTTTTGTATTGACTCTTTTGTTAACGTGGCAGGTTCAATGTGACTGTACATCCAAAAGAATCCACGCCGGCTGACAAAAGGAGAGAGAGAGACAGAGGGAGAGAGAAAAAATTACTGATGTTTTATGACTCGGGCCTGATTCGAACAGGCAACTTCCACAGTCGATACATAAGAAAGATTGAGAGTGATATGATCTGGGAACGGACCACCCGCCACCGAGTCGGTATTGATCTTCAATGTGGGTTGAATAAATAGACGGACCGCACAGTAGTTGTAGGTCAAAATGCGGAGGCGCGTACGTTCGTTTGCAGGGATGATTGTGTCTGAATGAACTGAACACCCGGAAAACAAACCAGTCAAGAAGACAAAAAGGTGGAGCATTCTGGATTTGCTACGACTCGGACCTGATTCGAACAGGCGACTTCCATCGCTCAAAGCACAGAATTTTTTATGTGTCATAGATGCGGACCATCCGCCACCGAGTCGGTGCCCTGTTTCAATTTGAGTTGAATGAATGAGGTGAATTTATGTCATGAGGATAAAATGAACATGAGTTGGAACACGGGTTGAAAAATAAAAACCACGCCCTCAAAGCTGGATGACTCGGGCCTGATTCGAACAGGCAACTTCCACCACAACCCAATCCTTGTCAATACAGATTGTGGACGCGGACCATCCACCACCAAGTCGGTACTCAGCCCCAATCTGAGTTGAATAAATCAGAAAAAATTTATGGGCCGGTTGAACCTTGGACCGCGGCCGCAACTTGTTCAGTTGGAAATATTGAATCGACGAGGAAAAGAACTCAAAGGAGTAATAAGTAAAAAGCCACCAGTCTCCGCCTAATGTTGGCGGGTCAGGCATTATTCCGCAGACAACGTACCTATTTAGTGACCTCTAGATTACATCGGACAGTATTTACGACATTGTGTAGACGTATGCCTAACGTACCGTACGCGGTAAGGGGCAAATAAATCTTGATTCAAAATAAATATTTTAAAAAAGTAAAAAGCCATCTTGGAGGACGAAAACATGAATCGGGCCAGAGTCGAACAGGCAACTTTCCACAGTCAGTCAATCTAATTCATTATAAGCTGTGAAGGCGGACCACCCGCCACCAAGTCAGTATTGAGCTCAATGTGGGTTGGATAAATAGAAAGAATCTATGGAGGCTGGTTAATATCACCATGCTTATAATTTTCAGGATGCAGAGGCGGGAATATTTCTTTTGCAGGGATAATTGTCTGAATGAACTGAACACCCGGAAAACAAACCAGTCAAGAAGACAAAAAAAGGTGGAGTATCGAGAATCTGCTACGACTCGGACCTGATTCGAACAGGCGATTTCCACCACAACCAAGTCCTTTTCAACACAGATTGTGGATGCAGACCATGCGCCACCGAGTCTGTACTCACCCTCCATGTTGGTTGAACAAATCAACACAAATTTAGGCCGGTCTGCGGTCCTGTCGGAGATGTTTAACTTTCAATGTTGACTGAAAAAAAAAACCTATGGAATTCAGGTTTGCACTGAACGCTGGAAATTAAAAACGGGTATTTGAGAGGAAAAAGGCGTTGCAGCCTATGTATGACTCGGGCCTGATTCGAACGGGCGCCTTCCACAGTCAACACAGTCTCATTGCTTACGAGTTGTGGACGCGGACCATCCGCCACCGAGTCGGTACTCACCCTCAATCTGAGTTGAATAAATAACACTGAATCTACGTGCTGGAGGGCCGTTGGTGAACTTACTTACCACTTCATGGAAGGTAGGTGTGACATGACTGCGTGTAGGAAATTCACTTGACCAGGAAATTTTTCATGAAATGTTGTAATACTGTGGCTGGTGTAGCCGCCAGCTGCTAAAAAAAAAGGAAAGATGGCGGTTTCTAAGTGACTCAGGCCTGATTCGAACAGGCGACTTCCGCAGCGAACACTACGCATATGGAACTATAAGTTGTGGATGCGGACCACCCGCCACCGAGTCATTATTGATCTTCAACGTAGGTTGGATAAATGAGCACGATTGCATGGGCCGTTGGTTTGGTTAAACTTCACCCTCCTGGGTTTGAGTTAAGATTGAATCAACGAAGGAAACAAAACTGAGAGGAGTGATAAGTAAAAAAGATATTGTTTCACGAAATACGACTCGGACCTGATTCGAACAGGCGACTTCCACGTTCACTTAATTGAAGTCCCCCACATGTCGTGGACGTGGACCTTCCACCACCGAGTCAGTAATCACCCTCAATGTGAGTTGAATAAATAGATGAGAACTTACGGACCGCACAGCGGTTGGTTGCTTTATTTCACCGTAGTTGTAGGTCAGAATGCGGAGGTGGGAATATTTCTTTTGCAGGGATGATCGGGGCTGAATGAGCTGAACACCCGGAAAACAAACCAGTCAAGAAGACAAAAAGGTGGAGCATTCTGGATTTGCTACGACTCGGGCCTGATTCGAACAGGCGACTTCCAGAGTCAATGTATTCACTACTTATGAATTGTGGACGCGGACCATCCGCCACCGAGTCGATATCGAGCTTCAATCTGGGTTGAATAAATGACCATCAATTTATGTGCCGCAGGTTGAACACGTCTTGGTCTCCGAATGTAATTCAGAGAAAATGCAACTATCACAATCACTTCGGGCGAATATCAATGGAAGAGAATAATAAGACGCACAGTATTGAACTGAGTTCACGGGGATAAAATGAACCAGATGAATCTCAGGCAGTCGAAACAGGAGGAAAAAATGAGAGCAATACAACACAAATATGACTCGGGCTTGGTTCGAACAGGCACCTTCCATTGAACACGTACACATCAATCATGAGTTGTGGATGCGGACCATCCGCCACTGAGTTGGTATCTGACTTGAATCTGGGTTGGATAAATGGGCATGAATTTATGTACCACATTCGTTGGTAAATCGTTACCACTTCGCGAACCGCGGCCGCAACTCGTTGAGTTGGAAATATTGAATGGACGAGGAAAATAACTCAAAAGAGTAATAAGTAAAAAACATCTTAGTTCACGAGATACGACTTGGACCTGATTCGAACAGGGGACTTTCACAGTCAATCGTTCACTTCTTGAGACATGAGTTGTGGACACGGACCATCCGCCGCCGAGTCGGTATTGGCCTTAAAGGTGGGTTGAATAAATGAGACACTGGGCTGTCAACTTAATATTCAATGGAATAACTCAAAAGAGCCGAAAGGAAGGGTAAAAACCTTCGTGAACGAAGTATGACTCGGGCCTGGATCGAACAGACACCTTCCAATTCAATCGGGTTCTGCACTGGGATATGAGATGTGGATGCGGACCTTCGCCACCAAGTCGGTATCTGACTTGAATTTGGGTTGAATAAATGGGTGAATTTACAGATCGCATCAGTTGGTTGAACATGTCTTGGTCTCCGAATAGTTACATCAGCTGAATCCAAGAGAATAATCAGAGGCACAGTATTGAGCTGATTTCACAAGGATAAAATGAACCAGATGATTCGGAACAGGAGGAAAAAAAGCATGGCTTGGGGAGAAATCATGACTCGGACCTGAATCGAACAGGTGACTTCCACGGCTGATATGAATGTGGTGCAAATGAGTTGTGGACCTGGACTATCCACTACCGAGTCGGCGCCCATTTCAATGTGGGTTGGGTAGATGAGCATGAATTTACACATTGCATCGGTTCGTTGGTTGAAACGTCTTGGTCTCCGAATTATATTCGGCACCTTCCACAGTCACATCAGGTGAATCTAAGAAAATAATCCGACATACAGCATTCAACTGAAGTTCACGGGGATAAAATGAAGCGGATGAGCCAGCAGTGGAGGAGGAACAGTAGGAAAAAGTGAATTTCTTTTAGTCAAGAGAGATCACTGATTCAAGCAGGCAACTTCCACAACAGTACATTTCCAAGAAATGGGTTGTAGACGCAGACCATCCGCCACCGAGCCTGTAGTAAGCTTCAATGTGGGTTGAATAAATGAGAAGAATTTATTTGCCGCATGCGCAGTCGGTTGAACTTCGCTGCTTCATCAAATATTTGTACTTGCTCAAGGCCGGAGTCCCTTGTTGAGTTAAAATTTGAATCAAAAAGGAAAACAAAACTCCGAGGAGTCAAAGGAAAGATAAAACTAAAATTCGATGTCCGTACGTCCATGACTTGGGCCTGGATCAAACAGGCAACTTCCACAGTCAATACGTAGTGGTCCCTTCGATATGATGTAGATGCCACCACCGAGTCGGTGAGATGGTGTGGAACGAGGTTAAAACATAAGTGGGGAGCATAGTCAATGGCGGGTGGCAATGCACATTGCCGTCATCGATCGCGCTGTCTCGAAACCACAAGGCACGAGGCACAAAGCCCTCACCCCACGAAAAACAAATGCACACCTTCCTCTCAAGCTCAAGACACTCACTCTTATACTGATTCTGCGGCTCCATCAGCTGCACCTGCACCCCCTTCAACCCCTCCACGCTCCTTTTCACCGCCATCGGCAGCGCCTCGGTGTGCCCCGAGCTGCACCCCACAAGTCCCGCCAACTTCCCATGCACCATCCCCAGCATCGCCGACTGCACCCCTGCCGTGCCCAGGGACGTCAACTCCTCCGCCGCCTCGCCCTCCTCCGAGATATCGGGGACCGTGGGCCACGAGAGGCCTGACGAGATCGGCGCGTGCTGCGCGGGCGTGTTTTGGGGGGTTGGCGCTGTTATGCAGGATGCGGAGATTGGGACGGATGTAACGGTGCGCTACGCGCCGTACTCTTTTTCCCTTCCCCACATTCCTTTCCCTCATCATACTTTCTCTCTTTCTTTTACTTCCTTTCTCGTCCCGCTAACTCCTGAACCGGCACTCGATATACCCGGGATTCATTTAGCTCCTTGTTTCACAAAGACTCCTATACATCACTATATAAACCTCCAATGTAGTAGACTAGCTTTTTGGTCAATTCTACTATTACGCCACTCATCTCTGCTGAACCGACCACCCCAGCTGTCGCGAACCAACTTACTGTAACGGGCCACGGACGCTGCCTCTGAACTCTCGTTCAACCGGGAGTTGTACTACTTAGATACCATATTTTTCTTTCTCTTTTTACGAAGTACTTACGATGATTCTTCAGCGCGCGGCGACCAGCGCGCGTCGCCGCGCGCTTGTACTTATATATTAGTTACGTGACGTGTCACGTAGTACTTAGTGTCGCGGGTATCCCCGAATAAGACATCATTCTACTACTACCCTCTCACACCGAAAGCCGCTGCGCTTGCCTGACCCTCTTAACGGCAGGAAAGCTTGGAGGCCCTATTGTGAAGGTAAGTTTGCTTTACCTTTTTCTCTCTATTCATTCGGATTCGCGTGCCCGCTCAGCCGAATAGCATCTCGAGAGGATATCCGCTCGAGACTAGGAGTCTGAGGTCTAAGGAAGTCCTAAGTGCCTCGAGACTCCTGCACTGCTCGCTGAACGTACAGCATTCGAACGCTAACTATTCAGTGAACGGCTCGCCAGACGTAACTCTAAGTGGTCTACTCAACTATTACAAATATTTGCAGGCTCCCGTCCAACGCGTCCTACACTTACTCGTGTGCTGAAACCAGTCGCCGTCTACTTGACTTCAGCGTTATCTAGCCGACCTCTCTTCCGTCACAACGGAGCTCATCGTTTGTGTGCGTTGCGAGAGTAGGATCAAAGCAAGCAAGCAAATTTTTGGGGCGGAGTTAGGCGGAGTTTGAATTGGCGGACTGGGGCCCGGTCACGTTTTGTCGAGAACTTTCGTTTTGTATCACTCTTTTGTGAACGTGGCAGGCTGAAGGAAAAGGAAATTTAATACTGTTGTTCCACGCTAGCCCGCAAGAAGAAAAAAAAAATCGAAACTCGAGGATTAACGACCCGAGCCTGATTCAAACAGGCGACTTCCACAGTCGACTCAGTTTGATTGCTTACGAGTTGTGGACGCAGACCTTCCGCCACCGAGTCGGTAATCACCTTCAATGTGAGTTAAATAAATAGATGAGAATTTACGGACCGCACAGTGGTTGGTTGCTTCATTTCACCGTAGTTGTAGGTCAAAAATGCGGAGGCGCGTACGTTCGTTTGCAAGGATGATCAGGTCTGATTGAAATAACTCTAAACACCAAGAAGCACAAAAAAATGCGCTGGCCGCCCATGACTCGGGCCTGATTCGAACAGGCAACTTCCACAGCGAAAGCAATCAACTTGATCCACAAGTTGTGGACACGGACCATCCGCCACCGAGTCGGTGCCCTGTTTCAATCTGAGTTGAATGAATGAGATGAATTTATGTCACGAGGATAAAATGAGCCCGATGAGTTGGAACAGGAATTTAAAAATAAAAACCACGCCCTCAAAGCTGGATGACTCGGGCCTGATTCGAACAGGCAACTTCGACCACAACCAAATTCTTGTCAATACAGATTGTGGACGCGGACCATCCGCCACCGAGTCGGTACTCAGCCCCAATCTGAGTTGAATAAATCAGAATAAATTTATGGGCCGGTTGAACCTTGGACCGCGGCCGCAACTCGTTCAGTTGGAAATATTGAATCGACGAGGAAATGAACTCAAAGGAGTAATAAGTAAAAAGTCACCACTCTCCGCCCAATGTTGGCGGGTCAGGCATTATTCCGCAGACAACGTACCTATTTAGTGGCCTCTAGATTACATCGGACAGTATTTACGACATTGTGTAGACGTATGCCTAACGTACCGTACGCGGTAAGGGGCAAATAAATCTTGATTCAAAATAAATATTTTAAAAAAGTAAAAAGCCATCTTGGAGGACGAAAACATGACTCAGGCCTGATTCGAACAGGCACCTTCCACAGTCAACGGCTTCTCCTCCTAAGGAGTTGTGGACGCGGACCATCTGCCACCGAGTCGGTACTCACCCTCAATCTGAGCTGAATAAACGAGCATAAATTTATCTGCCACATCAATTGGTTGGTCGAAACGCCTGGGTCTCCGAAATAAAATGCAGCTATCACATCGGCTGAATCTGAGAGATTAATCAGACATATTGGACCGAAGTTCACAGGGATAAAATGAACCAGATGACTCCCACACACCGGCAAAAGGAATATCTTGACCTATGCCAATATGTTAGTGGAGAGTAGATAAACTCGAAGAGAAATTAAAGCTTGCGGATTCTTAGTAATTTAATTGTGTGCAAAACCGGCGTGGAAGTAGCCGCAATCAGAAGCCCTTTTTGGACTCACCTGTTTATTCTTTGTCCGTGAGTACTGAAAGGACTGCTGAAATATCAACTTTCAACAGGCCTATTGACCTAGGTCAATGCCTTCTCTTTCTAAATTTTACAAAAGTCTTTGTTTCAAATGACGTATTGACCTAGGTTAATATTCCGTTTGAAATGAACACTATTGTAAATCCCAGAAAGAAAAGATATTGACCTAGGTCAATACACCTGTTGAAAGTTGATATTTCAGCGATACTTTCAGTGCTCGTGGACAAAGAATAAATACGCGAGTCCTAAAAGGGCTTCTGATTGTGGCCACTTCCGTGCCGCAATTAAATTACTAAGAATCCGCAAGCTTTACAGCTGTTTGCAAAAGTAATGACACTATCTAAAAATAGTTAAAAGAGAGCAGTTTTGAGATGCCAGATTGCCAAGTCCATTTCTCATTCATTTCTCGACGGATTTCTTCGAGAGTAGGCGCGTTCGAACCCGAGTAAGCGGGACTTTCATACCGTACCCCACTCACCTGGTATATTACGTAATTGAATATTCCAAAATCCCGGCTGTCTAGTTTGAACGGGACGCGGCAACGGCTTTTGCTCCCTCACCAGAGAACCGATTCGCATGAATCCAGGTGATTCTGAAAGCGTACATCAAGGCAACCTATATCCCAGCGCTCTAGAATGAAACACACATGAGAGGCACCTGCAAGAATGGATTTACTGATTGGTAGTGAATATTCATTCCTAGCAGGTTGCCTTGAGAAAAAACCAAAAGATAGTTTACCATGGAGCTTTGCCTCAATCACAGCTTTCAGAATCATCTGGATTCATCTGAATCGGCGCTCTAGTGGCCTAGAAAGCGCCATTGCCATGTTTGGTTCAAACAAGACTGCCGAAATTTTGGAACAGTTAAATTACGTAATTTACCTGGTAAGTAGGGTACGGTATGAAAGCCCCGCTTACCCGGTTTCGAACGCGCCTACTCTCGGAGAAATCCACTCAAAATTGGATGAGAAATGGGCTTGGCAATCTGGCACCTCAAAACTGCTCTTCTTTCATTTATTTTTAGACAGTGTCATTAGTTCTGCAAACAGCTGTAATTTCTCTTCAGGTTTATCTACTCTCTGCTAACATATTGACATAGGTCGAGATAATCTTTTCGCCGGTGTGCCAGGCAGTCAGAGGAAGTAGGAGGAAAAATAAAGCACTGTGTATGACTCGGGCCTGATTCGAACAGGCGACTTACACAGCGAACCTCTCTCATTCCTCTATAAGTTGTGGATGCGGACCATCCACCACTGAGTTGGTAATCACCCTCAATGTGAGTTGAATAAAAGAGGTGAATTTACGGACTGCACAGTGGTTGGTTGGTTTATTTCACCGTAGTTGTAGGTCAGAATGCAGAGGTGGGAATATTTCTTTTGCAGGGATGATTGTGTCTGAATGAACTGAACACCAGGAAAACAAACCAGTCAAGAAGACAAAAAAAGATGAAGCAACTAGAATCTGCTACGACTCGGGCCTGATTCGAACAGGCGACCTTCCACAGCAAACGCTATCAACCTGATCCATAAGTTGTGGACACGGACCATCCGCCACTAAGTCGGTATCTGACTTGATTTTGGGTTGAATAAATAACACTGAATCTACGCGCTGGAGGGCCGCTGGTAGATGACATGACTGCGCGTTGGAAATTCACTTGACCAGGAAATGTTTCATGAAATGTAATACTGTGGCTGGTGTGCATCCAGCAAGAAAATCCACGCTAGCCGCCAGCTGCTAAAAATAAATAAAAGAAAGACGGCGGTTTCTAAAGTGACTCGGGTCTGATTCGAACAGGCGACTTCCACAGCGAATGCAACTAACATCGAACTATAAGTTGTGGACGCGGACCATCCGCCACCGAGTCGGTACTCGCCCTCAATCTGGGTTGGATAAACAACACTGAATCTACGCGCTGGAGGGCCATTGGTGAACTTACTTACCACTTCATGGAAGGTAGGTGTGACATGACTGCGCGTTGGAAATTCACTTGACCAGGAAATGTTTCATGAAATGGAATACTGTGGCTGGTGTACGTTCAGAAAGAAAATCCACGCTAGCTGCCTGCCGCCAAAAAAAAATAAAAGAAAGATGGCAGGTCTCCATACAGTGACTCAGGCCTGATTCGAACAAGCAACTTCCATGGTCAAAGTGATAGTCGAGGCTCATGAATCATGGACGCAGACCATCCGCCACCGAGTCAGTATTGAGCTGTAACTTGGCTTGGATAAATGAGCAAGAACTTAGGACCATATCAATTGGTTGGTCGAAACACCTTGGTCTCCGAAATAAAATGCAACTATCACATCGGCTGAATCTATAATTAGACGTACAGTGTTGAACTGAAGGGATAAAATGAACCCGATAAGTTGGAACAGGAGTTAAAAAACAAAAACCACGCCGTCCAAATTGGATGACTCGGCCTGATTCGAACAGGCGACTTCCACTGCCATCGTGTGTGTCACTGCTCATGAATTGTGGACGCGGACCATCCGCCATCGAGTCAGTACTTAGGCTTAATCTGGGTTGAATAGATGGACATGAATTCATGTACCACATTCGTTGGTAAACCTTTACCACTTCGCGAACTGCGGCCGCAACTCGTCGAGTTGGAAATATTGAATCGACGAGGAAAAGATCTCAAAGGAGTAATAAGTAAAAAAACCCCTTAGTTCACGAGATACGACTTGGACCTGATTGGAACAGGAGACTTTCACAGTCAATCGTTCACTTCTTGGGACATGAGTTGTGGACACGGACCATCCGCCGCCGAGTCGGTATTGGCCTTAAAGGTGGGTTGAATAAATGAGAGGCTGGGCTGTCAACTTAATATTCAATGGAAAAACTCAAAAGAGCCGAAAGGAAGGGTAAAAACCTTCGTGAACGAAGTATGACTCGGGCCTGGATCGAACAGACACCTTCCAATTCAATCGGTTTCTGCACGGGGATATGAGATGTGGATGCGGACCTTCGCCACCAAGTCGGTATCTGACTTGAATTTGGGTTGAATAAATGGGTGAATTTACAGATCGCATCAGTTGGTTGAACATGTCTTGGTCTCCGAATAGTTACATCAGCTGAATCCAAGAGAATAATCAGAGGCACAGTATTGAGCTGATTTCACAAGGATAAAATGAACCAGATGATTCGGAACAGGAGGAAAAAAAGCATGGCTTGGGGAGAAGTCATGACTCGGACCTGAATCGAACAGGCGACTTCCACGGCCGAGATGAATGTGGCCCAAATGAGTTGTGGACATGGACGATCCACTACCGAGTCGGCACCCGCTTCAATGTGGGTTGGGTAGATGAGCATGAATTTACGCATTGCATCGGTTCGTTGGTTGAAATGTCTTGGTCTCCGAATTATATTCTGACAAAAGGCACCTGCCGCAATCGCATCGGGTGAATCTAAGAAAATAATCCGACATACAGCATTCAACTGAAGTTCACGGGGATAAAATGAAGCGGATGAGCCAGCAGTGGAGGAGGAACAGTAAGAAAAAGTGAATTTCTTTTAGTCAAGAGAGATCACAGATTTGAGCAGGCAACTTCCACAACAATACATTTCCAAGAAATAGGTTGTAGACGCAGACCGTCTGCCACCGAGTCCGTATTAAGCTTCAAGGTGGGTTGAATAAACGAGAAGAATTTATTTGCCGCATGCGCAGTCGGTTGGACTTCACTGCTTCATCAAATGTTTGCACTTGCTCAAGGCCGGAGTCCCTTGTTGAGTTAAAATTTGAATCAAAAAGGGAAACAAAACTCCGAGGAGTCAAAGGAAAGATAAAACTAAAATTCAATTCATGACTCGGGCCTGGATCGAACAGGCAACTTCCACAGGTGGTCCCTTCGATACGATGTAGATGCGGAACATCCACCACCGAGTCGGCGAGATGGTGTGGAACGAGGTTAAACATAAGTAGGGAGCATACTACTGCATAGTCAATGGCGGGTGGCAATGTGCATTGCCGTCATCGATCGCGCCGTCTCGACACCACGAGGCACGAGGCACAAAGACCTCTCCCCCAAAAAAAAAAAAAACCACGAACCTTCCTCTCAAGCTCCAAACACTCCCTCTTATACTGATTCTGCAACTCCGTCTGCTGCACCTGCACCCCCTTCAATCCCTCCACGCTCCTTTTCACCGCCATCGGCAGCGCCTCGATGTACCCCGAGCTGCGCCCCACAAGTCCTGCCAACTTCCCATGCACCATCCCCAGCATCGTGGACTGCACACCCGCCGCACCTAGGGACGTCAACTCCTCCGCCCCCTCGCCCTCTTCCGAGATGTCGGGGACCGTGGGCCGCGAGAGGCGAGAGGAGATCGGCGTGTGCTGCGTGGGCATGTTTTGGGGGGTTGGCGCTGTTATGCCGGACGCGGAGATGGGGACGGAGGAGCTCATCGTTTGTGTGCGTTGCGAGAGTAGAAGGATCAGAGCAAGCAAGCAAATTTTTGGGGCGGAGTTAGGCGGAGTTTGAATTCGCGGGCCGGGGACCGGTCATGTTTTGTCGAGAACTTTCTTTTTGTATTGACTCTTTTGTTAACGTGGCAGGTTCAATGTGACTGTACATCCAAAAGAATCCACGCCGGCTGACAAAAGGAGAGAGAGAGACAGAGGGAGAGAGAAAAAATTACTGATGTTTTATGACTCGGGCCTGATTCGAACAGGCAACTTCCACACCAAGTGTTTACAACTGCACGGGTTACATGCTGTGGACGCGGACCATCCGACACCGAGTCAGTAATCATGCTCAATGTGAGTTAAATAAATAGATGAGAATTTACGGACTGCACAGTGGTTAGGCCCAGTTCGGGATCCCTAATTGTTAGCTAGAGGTCTAGCTAGCTAACGTGTCACATCAATAGACTCGTGACCAGTCTGCCTACGCCGTTCTAACAAGGCGGGCTTGTTGCCGTAGGCAGACTGGTACTTCTCGGATATCCCAATTGGGCTGGGGCGGAGTTTGAAATTTAAGTGACTTTTTCACAATCTTATTCCGTTTACACTCAGTTTTTAAGTTTATTTTTCGGTTGAAGCCGGGTAATAAATAAAAGAATTATTCCTTCGATTTGGCCTCCTTATATTTCCTCTTTATGGTACAGAACACCGTAAAACCTGAGGATAGTTTTAGTGGAAATCAACTTCGGACCGTGATCTCCGGAATTGCCGCTCATTGCGTCATCAGTCTCACTCAATGAACAACTTAATTTCAAACTCTGCGACAGACCAATTGACATATCCGAGAAGTGCCAGTCTGCCTACGGCAACAAGCCCGCCTTGTTAGAACGGCGTAGGCAGACTGGTTACGAGTCTATCACATCAAGTCACTCGGTCATGCGACCGGCAAAAAAGGCGGCTCGGCAATTGCGATCGCTGATCAAGATCATTATGTATCCCGCTGCTTCCCGCTCGCTGTTGGATTACTGTAGTATTTCGTTCAAATTGACACTAGGTGTGACGTGTGACCCAAAAAACCAATTCGACATTTCGACAACAGCTAAAATTTGGCGTGACACCAGCGAAATTTTCGACATCGAATCGAAAATTTTGGCTTTTTTGGGTCTTACAGGCAATTTCGAGGCCTGTGTGACGCTCGGGAGGTTCGACAAATGGCCGCGTGACGCGCGACCCTTGCCAAATTTCGATATCGACAGGGGAGTGCGTGACACGTGACTGTCGATTTGAACGAAATACTACAGTATCCCGCCATTGGCGATGACAAGACCAATCTCTGAATTGAAGCCATTTGAAAGGGCGCACTATGGGCGCTTCATTAGATGTATATTTTAAGTGAATTTACCTGTAGTGTTTTCAATGTGTGGAGAATCACAGCGAGACAGAGGCAATAAAGTTTTTGAGGGGGCGGCACTGGCAGAGACAACGAGGAGAGGAGGTTGATGCAAATTTGATGTTTCATGATATTGATGGATGTGCCGAAACGGAGCGGTCCAGACCAGAGTGACTAAATGTCGCAAAAATCGCTTTTGGGTTATAAGTCAGGATAAGGGCATTTTGAGCCTTATACACTAGGCTCAACTCAACCTGTGTGTATGTCACCAATATTGGATTTGGAATGCAGCCTGAAGGGGGTCCTTTTGAGTTATAAGTGTATATAGGTACTTATAACCCTTTATAAGGCTTTATAAGCATGCCTGCTTGCCTATAAGGTTCAGAATCCCCTTATCTTGGCTTATAACTCAAAACGGACTTTTGCGACAGTCTGATGGTGACAGGCTCAAATATCCTCTATGTACTAAATATGCATTTGGCAGGGAAATTTAGAAAATAGGATTTTAAATCGGGATCCCGAACAGGGCCTTAGTTGATTTCACTGTGGTTATAAGTCGCGTTCTGGAGGTGTGTTCATTTGCAGGGATGATCAGGTCTGATTGAATTAACTCTGAACACCAGGAAGTAACAGCCAAGAAGCACAAAAAAAAAAGCGTGGCTGCCCATGACTCGGGCCTGATTCGAACAGGCAACCTTCCACCGCGAACGCAATCGCCTTGATCCATAAGTTGTGGACACGGACCATCCGCCACCGAGTCGGTACTCACCCTCCATGTTGGTTGAACAAATCAACACAAATTTAGGCCGGTCTGCGGTCTAGTCGGAGATGTTGACTGAAAAAAAACCAGGTTTGCACTGAACGCTGGAAATTAAAAACGGGTATTGGAGGGAAAAAAGGTGACGTTGCCGCCTACGTATGACTCGGGCCTGATTCGAACAGGCGACTTCCACATCCAATTACAATAGATTTCATATCAATTATGAGTTGTGGACGCGGACCACCCGCTACCGAGTCGGTATTTGACTTGGATATGGGTTAAATAAACAACACTGAATCTACGTGCTTGAGGGCCGCTGGTGAACTTACCACCTCATGAAAGGTAGGTGTGACATGACTGCATGATGGAAATTCACTTGACCAGGAAATGTTTCATGAAATGTAATACTGTGGCAGCGGTGCATTCAGCAAGAAATCCACGCTGGCCGCCAGCCTCCGAAAATTAAAATTAAAAAAGGTGGTATGGTATTTACTAATAAACAGTGACTCGGGTCTGATTCGAACAGGCAACTTCCATGGTCAAAGCCATAGTCGAGGCACATGAATTATGGATGCGGGCCACCCGCCACCGAGTCAGTAATCAGCTTTAATCTGGGTTGGATAAATGAGCATCAATTTATGTGCCGCAGGTTGAACACGTCTTGGTCTCCGAATTTAATTACATTCAGAGAAAATGTAACTATCACAATCACATCGGGTGAATCCAAGAAAATAGTCTGAGGTACAGTTTCGAATTGAGTTCACAGGGATAAAATGAACCAAATGAATGCCAGGCAGTCGGAACAGGAGGAAAAAAAGCGAAAACTGTCTGCAATATGACTCGGGCTTGATTCGAACAGGCGACTTCCACAGTCAGTCAATCTAATTCATTATAAGCTGTGGACACGGACCATCCACCACCGAGTCAGTACTCACCCTCAATCTGGGTTGAATAAACAACACTGAATCTACACGCTGGTGAACTTACCACCTCATGGAAGGTAGGTGGGACATGACTGCGCATTGGAAATTCACTTGACCAGGAAATGTTTCATGAAATGGAATACTGTGGCCGGTGTACGTTCAGAAAGAAAATCCACGCTAGCCGCCAGCTGCCAAAAAAGTAAAAACCCCTTGGTTCACGAGATACGACTCGGGCCTGATTTGAACAGGCGACTCCCACAGTCGATACATATGAAAGATCCCGAGTAATATGATCTGGGAACGGACCACCCGCCACCGAGTCGGTATCCCGTTTGAATTTGAGTCGGATAGATGAGAATAAATTAGGATAGCCTCCGAGCCGGTCCAGTCCGGAGATGTTGAACTTTTCCCAGTGAACAAATGAGGAACACCATGCCGTTCGCACTGACCGAGGGAAAGTGAACACGGGAATTGGGGGAAAAGAAGCAGTTGTAATGGTATGACTCGGGCCTGAATCGAACAGGCAACTTATACAGTCAATTTCAAAGTAATAATGTCTCGTGGACGCAGTCCATCCACCACCGAGTCGGTAGCCAGTCTTATTCTGAGTTGAATAAATAGAAAAAAAAATTGGTGTTGTTGGCTGCATGGGTTGTTGGTTGGTTGAACTTTACCAGCACCCATGCTCAAGGCTCCCGGTTGAGCTGGAATTGACTCGACGGGAAAACAAAACCCAGAAGAGTCGAGAAGTAAAAACAATCTCGGACATTGCCCCATTACACGGGCCTGATTCGAACAGGCGACTTCCAGTGAGACTCATGCAGCATGATTATGAATTGTGGATGCGGACCATCTGCCACCGAGTCGGTACACGTATTGAATCTAGGTTGAATAAACAAGATCGAATTTACGGGCTGCAGGGCCGTTGGTTTAACTTTACCGCTTTGTAAACTGCGGACGTAACTGATTGAGTTAGAAATTGGACCGACGAAAAAGAAACTCAAAAGAGTTGAAAGCAAAAGCCATTGTGCACAAACATGACTCGGGTCTGAATTGAACAGGTGATTTCCATTGTGCATTACTTTGGACATGGATCATGAGTTGTGGATGCAAACCATCCGCCACCGAGTCGGTACTCAACTTGATTTTGGGTTGAATAGATAGAAGGCATTTACAGGCTGAGTCAGATGACGTGGGATGAGGGTAAAAGATAAGCGGGGAGGGCGGGTGGCGCCGTCATCGATCAATCGCGCTGTCTCCACCAACTCTCCACCACCTCACCCCCCAAAACAAAACAAAAACACTCACCTTCCTCTCAAGCTCCAGACAATCCATCTTATACTGATTCTGCAGCTCCGTCTGCTGCACCTGCACCCCCTTCAGTCCCTCCACACTCCTTTTCACCACCATTGGCAGCGCCTCGATGTACCCCGAGCTGCGTCCCACAAGTCCCGCCAGCTTCCCATGCACCATCCCCAGCATCGCAGACTGCACCCCCGCCGCGCCTAGCGAAGTCAACTCCTCCGCCGCCTCGCCCTCCTCCGAGATGTCGGGAACCGTGGGCCACGAGAGGCCTGAGGAGATCGGCGCGTGCTGCGTGGGCGTGTTTTGGGGGGTTGGCGCTGTTATGCCGGACACGGAGATGGGGACGGAGGAGCTCATCGTTTGTGTGCGTTGCGAGAGTAGAAGGATCAGAGCAAGCAAGCAAATTTTTGGGGCGGAGTTAGGCGGAGTTTGAATTCGCGGGCCGGGGACCGGTCATGTTTTGTCGAGAACTTTCTTTTTGTATTGACTCTTTTGTTAACGTGGCAGGTTCAATGTGACTGTACATCCAAAAGAATCCACGCCGGCTGACAAAAGGAGAGAGAGAGACAGAGGGAGAGAGAAAAAATTACTGATGTTTTATGACTCGGGCCTGATTCGAACAGGCAACTTCCACACCAACCGTGCAGCTCAACCGTGCAGCTAATATGTGCTGTGGACGCGGAACATCCGCCACCGAGTCGGTACTCAGCCTGAATCTGAGTTGAATAAATAGATGAGAATTACGGACTGCACAGTGGTTGGTTGCCTTATTTCATTTCATTGTAGTTGTAGGTCAAAATGCGGAGGTGGGAACATTTGTTTACAGGGATGATTGGGTCTGATTGAACTAACTCTGAACACCAGGAAAACAAACCAGTGAAGAAGAAAAAAAAAAGGTAGAGCATCCAGGATTTGCTACGACTCGGACCTGATTCGAACAGGCGATTTCCACCACAACCAAGTCCTTTTCAACACAGATTGTGGACGCGGACCATCCGCCACCGAGTCAGTAACCAGCCTTATTCTGGGTTGAATAAATCAGAATGAATTTATGTGCCGCAGGTTGAACACGTCTTGGTCTCCGAATGTAATTCAGACAAAATGCGAACATCACAATCATATCGGGTGAATATCAATAGAAGAGAATAACAAGACGCACAGTTTCGAACTGAGTTCGCAGGGATAAAATGAACCAAATGAATGCCAGGCAGTCGGAACAGGAGGAAAAAAAGCGAAAACTGTCTGCAATATGACTCGGGCCTGATTCGAACAGGTAACTTCCACTGCTAATCGTTGCGGCACTCATGAATTGTGGATGCGTACCATCCGCCACCGAGTCGGTACTCACCCTCAATCTAGGTTGGATAAATGAGCATGAATTATCTGCCACATCAATCGGTTGGTTGAAACGCCGTGGTCTCCGAAATAAAATGCAACTATCACAACGGCTGAATCTAAGAGATTAATCAGACATATATTGGACTGAAGGGATAAAATGAACCCGATGAGTTGGAACAGGAGTTAAAAAATAAAAACCACGCCCTCCAAGCTGGATGACTCGGGCCTGATTCGAACAGGCGACTTCCACAGTCAACGACTTCTTCTCTTCCATAAGGAGTTGTGGACGCGGACCATCCGCCACCGAGTCGGTATTGATCTTCAATGTGGGTTGAATAAATGGGTATGATTTATGTGTTGCATGGGCCATTGGTCTGGTTAAACTTCACCCTAGCTTCGTAGACCGCGGATGCAGCTGGGTGAGCTAAAAATTCAATAATGAATCAACGGGGAAAACAAAACTCAGAGTAGGCGAAAGGAATCTTTTTTTTTAAAAAACTACTTCGGACCTTGACAAATTATGACTCGGGCCTGATTCGGAAAGGAGACTTCCAGAGTCAAAGTGTTCACTACTCATGAATTGTGGACGCGGACCATCCGCCACCGAGTCTGTACTCATCCTCAATGTGGGTTGAATATATAGAATGAATTTATGGGGACACCATGCTAAATGAACCCACTTGCGACATTCTCCCAATAGAATACAATGCTCACATCGGGTAAATCCAATAGAATGATCAGACCTACAGCACAGTTTTGAACTGAATTCACGGGAATAAATGAACCAAATAAGTCGGAACAGGAGGAACAGGAGGAAAAAAGTCGGTCAAGAGAGATCATGACTCGGGCTTGATTCGAACAGGTGACTTCCACAGTTGACATTTGTCTCTGTCATCGATGATTTGTGGACGCGGACCATCCGTCCCCGAGTTGGTATTGAGCTTCAATGCAGATTGAATAAATAGAAATAACTTACGGGCTGGTTGAACTTTACAGCTTCGTGGAACACTTTCTCCCTTGTCGAATTGGAAATTGACTCGACGATGAAAACGAAACTCAGAGGAGGAAAAGGAAAAAGAAATCACCGCCAACCAGATATGGCTCGGACCTGATTCGAACAAGCGACTTCCACGGGTAACATTCTTGGCCGGCGACTACGAATTGTGGACGCGGACCATCCGCCACCGAGTCGGTACTCAGTCTCCACGTGGGTTGAATAGATGAGCGTGAATTTATTGAGTGCGTGGGCTGTTGGTGAAATTTTATCGCTTTGTGGGACGTGCACACTTGCTCAAGCTCAAGGCTCTAGGGTTGAGTTGGAAATCGGCTCGACTAGCTTAATTATGATGAAATGCCATACTTACTATGCAGCGGTGCCTTCAGAAAGGAAAAACTCACACTAGCTATCAAGACTCAAGAGACAGGGAAAAAAGGAAGACCTCGTCGTCAATAATGACTCGGGACTGATTCGAACAGACACCATCCACAGTCGATACGCGATCAGTATTCCGATTGATATGATGTAGACACGGACCACCCGCCACCGAATCGGTACCCTGCTTCAAGGTGGGTCGAATAAATTATAGGCATGAGGTCTCAGGTCCAGTTGAACTTTCCCTGAAGCAACGTTGTCTGACCAAATCATACGAGAAACACCGCGGGATTCGAGTTCACACTGACCAGTGGAAATTGAATTCAGTAATTGGGGATGAAAGGATAGATTTTCCTGAGAATGACTTGGGCCTGATTGGACCAGGTAACTTCGGCTGTGTATTATTTGTGACATGGCCCCATGAGTTGTGAACGCGGACCATCCGCCACCGAGTCGGTACCCCATTTCAATGTGGGTTGGATAAACGAGTATAAATTTATGGAGGTTTTCACCGGGGTTATAATGCAGAATTGGGCGCACTCTCCACCTGATCAGGTCTGAATGAACTGAACACCAGGAAAACAACAGACAAGAAACACAAAAAAGGGTGCACCAATCATCTATGGCTCGGGCCTGGGCTTCACAGTGTGTTGAATGAATAAATGAATGAACATGAATTGATTAATTGAACTTGGCGCTTCTTGGACCGCGGACGCTTTCTCAAGGCGTTTGTGTTGGGTTGAAAATTGAATCAACGAGGAAAACAACTCAGAGGAGTCGAAAGGAAAAAAGGAAAAACTCTCGTCAACGAAACATGACTTGGGCCAGGGTCGAACACGCGCCTTCCACAGTCAACATTCTTCTCCGTCGAATGAGTCGTGGACGCGGACCATCTGCCACCGAGTCGGTGTTGCATCCATCTCCTGCTATGACCGGGATAAAGGGCGAGATACAGGTAGGCTGAGGATATGGAAGAGCAGTTTGTAAAGATTGAAACTCCGCTTCGGACTTTGCCGTCTGATCAATTTGATCTTCGATCGCTTGAAGCCTCGTTTTTCTTAACCGCCACGACGTCGCCCCGGACATCCAATGCATCGCGCGCTAGAAATCTTGGAAATTGTAGAGATGATCTGCGAACAAGCAGCAATAATGAAAGGAGATTGGAGCGGCGTGGCGACTTTAGCCAGAACTTGCGCGTTTTTCCTCAATCCCGCACTGAATGCCATATGGAGACACCAGGAAACGATTTCGAACCTACTCAAATGCTTCCCCGACGATTTATGGGATATAGCGGAGTACTACGTGAACTATCGACATACCCTCAATGTCGTGAGTTATACTTCAAATTTCTTCGTTGAACTTGTGTCTATCTTTAATTTACTAGTCTCTACGCCGCAGCATCGCCTCTTCCGACTGGGAGCGCCCCTTATTCTATATGCACCGTGTTAGATCATTGGAGCTGGGTGGCTCATTCGGGACATCGGATTTCCTGGAGGCCCTCGGTCTGTCTCTTCCCACAGCGTACATGTTTTCGAATCTCGACAGCCTCAAGTGGTATCCGCAATCACCACCG